AAATTCTTAACTTTGAAAAAATATTTTATTATTACTTTGAAAATTACTTGGATTCTCTTACTTTTTGTATAATACAAATATTATCAAAGTTTTTTTAGATTTTCTAATTAATTTTGTATGACATAATCAATAACTAATGCATGACAGTAACAACAATAGGATGATTTTCATTATTTTTGTTTGAATAGTACATTAGCGTATTAAGTACTTACATAGTTAGCAATATATATGTATGTATACTTGAAATGACATACATATACTTATATGAATCAATTCAATTTTAGTATACTTAAGTAAAGTAATTTAAGAAAAACTACTTTATTTTTGTAATTTTTTGAAAAAGAACTCAAAAAAAAAATTTATATTATACGTTAAAAATAATTAATAGTTTACCGTTATCTACAAAATATATTATACAATTACTATTTTTATATAACAATTGAAATAAAAAATTTTAAAAAACTTATTAAGTGTAATATCATATGTTGTAAATTGATAAAACTTCTGAAAGGCTTTTAGATAGAAATTATTAAAAAAAATTCATAAAAGTTATTTAAAATGATTAAATTTTAAAAAAATGCAAAGTAAGTGACAAAATTAACGAATTTAGTTTTATACATAAGTAGATCTAAAATTATATTTACGATATGAAAGAGTATCGAATAAATAAAATATCGTATTAATTAGTATCTTTTGTCCAAATTAATAAGTTAATTAGATATTTTATAAACACTTCTCATATATCTTACATATCCATTATTTATTTGTGAATTTATTTAGTGTATATATACACCTAAAATTTTTATATAGAAAATTGACAAACTTGATCCTAATATAGTTGAATGAATTTAAAGTTGAAAATTCAATTAAATACAAAAGGAAATTTAAGTTTTTTTTAACATTATTTCATAATAATTTTTTCATAATTTGATGTAATTTAATGCGAAAAGTTTTGTATTTAAATCGCTCCAAGTTCAAATGAAAATTCTTTAATGCGAATTTGTAAAATTTAAGTTGAATAAACTTTTATGTTTGACTTATAACTTTTATTTTATAGAATTATTGGTAAACAAACTGTTGACGATATTTAAAGAATGAAACCATTACAAAACCTTGCCAGAATTGTAAGTGCCATAGTTTCCGTAATAATCAAAATTTAGTATTTTCTAATACAATATGTATTACAAATATCAGAGAAATAATTTTATTCAAATTATTGCATTTTAATTTATTTTCAAAGGAATTTGCAATTCGTACAACAATTAACAGTATGGGATTACAAAAAAAAAAAATTTTTTTATCTTATCATCAACTTATTTTCAAGATTTTTTGTAGTGTGCTTACTTTAAGTACACATGAGTTCTTATCAAAAAATACTACAATTAATGTAGATCAAACAACAATAGACAGGAAAAAACGTATAATTTTAATAAATAAATTAAAATTGAACAAAAAACTTGACCGTTTATGTCATTTACAATTTTAGTTTAGATATGCAAAAAAATGGAATATTTATTGAAAAGTAATTTACAAATACTAACATGAAATTAAAAAATAAATTTTAATCGTCTATCGTCCTTCATTTTGTAATTTAATAATCAAGTACATATGTAACCAAAAAAAAAAAAAAACGAAAAAGTATATCTACAAATTTTTCCCTCTTACACCCTTTAAAATTAGTTATGCGTAAGTTTATAATCATATGTACATATTATATGTATAACTAAAAACTTTTATCCAAAGAAGAAAAAACAAAATTAAAAATTCACAGATCTCGGTCTATAATATTAAATAATAATTTCATAATTAAGAGAAATCCCCTGTTTCCAAATGAATACCATTTTTTGTATATGTATATATGTATATATATATATGTATATGTATTTAAGTAATTACTTTAAAAGTACTTCACTCAATTCATTACACTATTCACATTTATTACTAGGGGATTCACTTGCTAATTATAAATTTCATTCAAAATAATTGCCGTATTACACCAGCAATCTCTTGCTCTCTCATTTTGTCTAAAAAATTGAAATTATGAAGGTATAATAATAAATATCATATATGTGTATGTACGTATGTATAACATTATATAATAATAAATTTTTTCATCATCATCATAATTATTATTAAATTAATATGCGAAATTAAAATTATAAAAAAAAATTATTTTTATAGGGTTTTTGTATAATGAACCTTTTTTTTCGAATGTTGAAATACTCGTAAACATACATACATACTTAATTTTTTTTATTTAGGACCGCGATTATTAAATTTTTTGGGTTATTTAAATTGCGTTTAAATGTTGTCTCTGTTAGTTACATGTCCAAATTTATTTTATTTTATACATGTATAACAAATATTCAAATTATAATAACTAAATATACATACATAATCTTAAAAACATAAAGTGATCGAGAAATAAATAATTTTGCGTTTACTAACCCATATTCAAATCATGCGTAAAGTAAATGCCACATTGAATTTCAAAATATTATGAAATAATTTTGAAATATTCGTAACTATGGTTTAAAATTTATTGATCGAATTTCATATTATTTTCTAGAAATTAAACAAAATAGGTTATTTTTAGTAAATGTTAAAACAATTTCCAGGTAAAAAAGAAACCTCTTTGTTTTTTTTATTAAACTATTTTTGATATTTTGATTTAAATAATTGTGAATATTAAAAATTCAAGGAAAAATTAATAACCCGTATTTCCCAGTGACAAAACCCTTACAATATCTTGACTATTAATTTAGAAAAATATTTCACAAATTAAAAAATTACTTGATCTAAATAATTTTTTTTTTGCTAATTTACGTAAATACAACAACTGTCGCAAGCATTATTTTATAGTCATTATAAATTGCTTGTATTTTGTGTTAGTTTGCAATGAAATTTGCAATTTTTTTTTCTTAAAATTTCGAAAACTCATAAATATTCTTCATTCAACATTCAAGTACCAAAAGTTTCGAACATTTAAATTCGTTTAACTAATGTTGCCCGATTGTGGGTATAGGTAATTTATGATGCCTAACGGTGTTGTCATGTTAGGTACATTTTTGCATAGCAAAAGAAGAGAATATTTGGCTTTAAACATTTTTATTTTCATATCTAAGGCAGATTTTTCGGTCAAAATGTCATCGATAACAAAATATTGTATAATTTACAAATTTTTTACCCCTTTTTAGATTGATAAAATGAAAGTAGATACTTACTTGAATTTAAACATAGAAATTTAATTTAAATTAAATTAAGTAAGTTTATTTTTTTTTTAAATACCCTAAATGTAATATGTAATTTAAATAAAATTAATAAGAAAAAACAAGAATAAAATAACACGATGGGTAAATATTTCCATAATTAATTATTCATATTGCTTTCATCCTTGTACATTTATTAATAATATATCGAACTAAGTAACTACCATACTATTGAATTTAAATTTGATTTTCTTAAATATAAGTAAGTACTAAAATATTATATTTTAATTGACAAGAAATTCAAATATTGATTTTTAAAGTTTCATATGAATAGCACGCATACATAAAAATGATAGAATCATAATCTTCACTTCGTGAACAACGTAGTACGTATACTAAATCAATAGAATTTTATAAAACTTTTATCGTTTCCTCTACAATTTTATTAGCAATTATTTTAAAATTAAAATTTATTTCGTATACATGTAATGGAAACACATATATGTACATATATTTACGCATATGAAATTTTATTACTAAGAATTAAAAAAATCATTTATTAAGCATTAATATCAAATTTTTAAAATTTTTAGTGACTTTAGTCCGAAAGTTGCAATATAATAATTGCTATAATTATAATTTTATTTCAAGTTCAAATATTCTCCACTAAAGTACCGACAGAAATAAAAAAATAGCTGGTCATAAACGTACAAGCCTATAAAAATTTACTACGTAATTCAGAGATAAATAAACATATGTTCGATAGTAAAAAAAAAAATAAAAAAAAAAATAAAAAACATTGAATCACGCATGTTGGCCTTCATTGAAAATAATTTTCGGTTTTATTTTTAATTTACGAAAAAAAAAATTTTAGTAATTTTCAATTTTAAAGTGATATTAAAATTACTTATTGTAGTGCAATTACTAGAAAAGTAAACACTATTATTTAATAAAAATATTAATTTTTCAATACTTTTAATAGCAACTTTTATTTTTGAATGCAAATCATTCATTTTAATAGTAAAATAATTTATTTTATTCAATAAACAATTATTTTTAATATCAACACATATTTTGTCTGCTAATACTTCACAGAATTCAAGATCAAAAATTTAGGGTTATGTTCAATTTGATATTTCAACTAGAGTGTGCGTACCTAAGTGTTGTAGGTATGTAGACTCTTATAAAAAAAATATTAAAACCCTAAGATTTTATTCCGATAACCTGTTGTTTAGGCTAGTATTTTTTCGCTTATAAAATTAAATTTGTTAATTAAAACCTGTCCAAAAGAAAGGGTAATTCTGGGATCTAAACATATAATTTCAGTGAAAAAATTAAAATTATATACCTAGGTAGCAGCAAATTATGATAAATCTTATGACTGCAGTTATAAAAAAAATTATGCATTCGAATCATGAAAGAAAATGGTACAAAGTAATATTTTATAACACAAATTTTCTCATTTTTTAAGATTGTCAATTGTCAGTTTATGTCACAATAGTAAATTTACAACTTCACACAACCCATGCAATTATATTTGAATAAACTACATACATGTACATAATGTATGTACGAAGAACGAAATTTGGTTGATATCAAAATATTTTTTGATTTTTTTTACTTATATTTTTTGATTTTTTTTTCAATTTGTAATTAATTAAACTTCGACACCATAATCTAATTGCAAATGACTAAATAACTAAAACTTATTTAGTTAATTTTTCCATATTAATTTATTTTACATTGAGAATGAATAAAAATTTAAAAACTTTAAAATCTAGAAATACGCACCGCCAAATTTTCGGTTTTCTTATTTTTTTTCTTCCCTTTTTATTTATTAATGTTCAATTAATAAAATGCCATTCACATACTTATAAATTCATACTTTATATACTTTTATATACACAAGTATGTATCTTCTTTTATTATGCTTTATAATTGTAGATTATTTATAAAAACTTAATTTGTTTTTAATAAATTAGAGAATTTTTCCAAAAAAAAATTAATTCGCCCAAACACAAATATACTGAAAGAAAAAAAAATTCTATTACACAATATAAAAGATTCTGGTATAGAAATTAACAAAATTAGTGTGTTATGACGTAGAGCATATGTACCGTAAAAAAAACGTTATTTAACTCACTTTCTCTCACTTTTCAATTCACTTTCGTTTCACTATTTTTTTTTCTATTTTGCTTTTTTTCTGTTTGCTACTTCCACTTACACAATTTTTTTAATTTATAATTTTTGATTTAAAAACCTATAGCATTATTTATTTTTTTTCAATTCTCCATTAATTTTTATTCAAATATCAAAATTAAGTGCACAAAAAGTTATACAAAATTATTTTTGCATAAAATTATAAAACCAAAAAAATTAAAAATAACAAAAAAAAAACCAAAAATTTTAAACTTGAATATTTCTATTACAAAAAAAATTGAAAATGTTATAGAGAAGAGAAACTATAATATTTGAAATGACCGTCACAACCGCTTACTAAACATAAACTGACTGAATATGAATGAATTTTATTTAGTTGAAGTGGTTATGACGAAAAGTTTTACTCTATATTTACTTAAATGTACATATAATGTGTATGTATGTACACAAATTGATAAAATCTCATGAAAAACAAAAACTAAAAAAAATTTTTATACTCGCTAGTCGCTCATTCATTTCTCAAATAATGTGATATGTTTGCAATCAAATAATATAAAAATGATAATAAATACTTTGTAATGTGGTATAAAAATATATAAAATACATACATATCTTTACGTTATATGTGATGTAAGTAAGTATATAAGTAGGCACCTAAGCATGTAGGAATTGAAAATTTTTGTTTATAAGAATGATTTTGCAATTTTTTGTTTATTTTTTAATATTTTCTATATTTGCACTTATGACATACAACAAGAGAGGTATTGTGATTGTATCAAATTTCATATATTGTGGTATCAATATAATTAAATTTCTCCATGCGAGAACAGTGTATAAGCAAATAATTTTCTTTTTTGTTAGACAGATATCTGTCTGTTAATCGGCGCCCAATTGAAATAAATATAATACAAATTTATATCTATGTTCATTTAGAAATATGATAAATATGTAGAGTAACTTTTGCAGTATGTACTTATGTACATATATTGCGTCTGCAACCTTACCATTACGGCTTAATCAGCCGATACAATATGTAAGTAACTAATTTAAAATACTAAATAACGAATACTAAATAGGAATGTCTTAAAATTTAATATTTGAATTCTTTTTATTAACAAAACTAACTGACTCATTTTGGAAAAAAAACAGAAAATCTAAAACCGAATTCGCACTACAATAAGGTAAATTTGCATTTCAACTATGTTAAGTAGAAAATTACACTTGTTTTCATAAAATTCTAAACTATTCTAAGTTATAAAGAAAATTTTCTGGTTCTTGTGCGATACGCTTACTACATCACTAATAAATACCAGCGACGCAATCGCTTATGCGCTGATCACATCAAATTTTTTTTCTTTATAAATGTTATTTACATAATAGTATTTGATTTGATGCTTTTGGTGGCATTTTTTTAATACAATCCGAAACAAAAAGATAAAAAACAAAATAAATTTTTATCAATAAATTCTATTTATAAGTATTCTAACAATTCTATTTGAAATTTTATTCAAACTAGAGATCAATAAGTTGTCATAAATAAACAATAGATAATTAATTAATAATAATAGTTTTTATTTTTGATTTTTTGCGGTTAAAAATTAAAATTTATTCAAATAAAATCTGCATTTAAAAAGGCTTCACAATTATTTACTTTCTTTTTTCGCAATTTTTAAAGCAAAAATCTTATGAAGAAGGTTACCAAATCTACCTAAACTATTCAAAACTGAATTTGTGTAATTATTATTTCAAATAACTTAATTATAATTAAATACTATGAAATACCAAAAATTGGATTAATTGTTAAGTAAAATAAAAATTTTTTCATAACTAAATTTTTTTCTTACCAATCTACTAACAAAAAAAGAAACACTTTGAAAAACACAGCAACATTTACATTTTGTCCTTTCTAAAAGGGAACGAATGGTCAGCTTAATGGAAAATTAACTATTAACCAAAGGATAGTATAAAAAAATTGAATTTCATAATTTATGTAAATTTCTCTATTTAACCGCAACAGTAGGATGGTTTTAATAATAAATTTACACAAGACACACAAGGAATTTTAGCTCTTGTATACAAAATTCATTTGAAACTAAAATTTATGAACAAATAAAATAAAATCTAAAAATAAGTATTTTTATAGAATAATAAAGAGTAACAGAAGCTACTTATCAAATACTATAAAAAATCTTCTGCATATCATGTATGTAATTAGAAGCAAAATTGTATTTACTTTATTTTATATCGCAAATTCGTTATAACATTTATTTACTTGTATGTATGAAATAATATAAATTGAATTAATGTGAATTTACATTTTACATTATAAATGTAGTTCATATTTAATTTTTAGCAAACTAATTGAATAATCCAAGATTGGGTCAAGGTTGTTGGGAATCAGCGAATTGAGATGAAATAAAATTGTATCTTATGAACATTAAGTATGTATGTGTCTAATAAGAGCAAAACTATCTTAAGTCCATTTTTTTTTTTTTCAAAAAAAAATTTTTAAGCAATATCATGTTAATAGCTCACTGAACGCGAGTGTGATTATTTTGATGCGCACTCGTCGATACACTACATATAATTAATTTAGCTTAAAAATTATACACGCGTAATAATCTTATCTCCACATAAATTTTACTTTTGTGGATATATCATTGTCATCTCAAATTAATACAAGTGTTTTTTTTTATCGTTTAAAGCTGATTTCTGGGAATTTGAATAGGAATTAAATTTCGACCTTCAATAGGCTATTTTGAACAATTTGCAAATTTTGACTTAAGATAGTTCTGTTTCACAAGAGGCGATTTGATAATTCTGCGCAAAATCTACTTATATATTTGTTTTTGACTATGCCTAAAACTATTTTCACTATAATATGTTTAATGTCAGACAACACACTTACAAGGTACTTAAGTGAGTGTTATTTAAAAAAAAAAAGAAGTTTTCAATTACATTGCACGCTAAAATATTTTTGACAACAAGCCACTTTCTCGGAGGATTAACATTTACCTTTTTTTATCGTATAAACGTATAATTAGATTATAGTTGGAGAAAACAAATTTGAGTAAATAAAAATTACAAGAGTGAAGAAAAAATAAAAAATACCTATAAGAGAAACGTAAATAAGAATTTTTATGCATGTATGTGTACATTTTATGTAGCTATATAAATATTTTTATGTTATATTACTTATGCCTAAGTTAGTGCAGCTCATATTTACAATAATAATTTCGCAACTACAAAAAATATAGGTGAATTTGTTCTAACTATACATACATACGTACCTGATATAGACATACGTATATGATAACGGACTTTGTTTTAATGGTATTAATTTAATTTTTTTTTTGGAGTTGTTTTTTTTTAAATACATTTTTAACCGGTTTTGCAAGTTTAATTTGTAGAATAATATGTACATTTTAATAGAATGTACATACGTATACATATAAAGAATTTAGTGGTTAAGTAATAAATATAAATATTAGCATAAAGCATACGCATACATACACACATAATTACATTAATTATAATTTAAGCTGAACAGTAAAAATTTACCGTTTTACTTGCAAGGATAAAGTGAATGCATTAAATACGTTTCAAAAAAAGAATGTATTGAATACGCATTTGCTTCTACTTATATGTAGGTATATCAAGTTCAATGCTCCATAACACGAATATAAACTAATTATATAATATGTATATACAATAGTATGTATATAATATATACTTACATATATACATACATATGCGTAAATAAATACCAATATCTTTATAAGAAATGCATTCATATATTTTATTGGAGGAATTCATATTATAACAAAAAGAAACCGTTATAATTTTATATTGTGAAACTTTTACAAATTTTAACACATTGTTCGCTTATGAGACAACCATTAAAATGTTGGCATTAAAGTAACGGTTTATAAAAAGGTCCACTTTTTATAAAGTTATCAAACAATGTTAATTGTGCACAATGTAATTTTTAAGCTGATAAAATATTCACCAGCATATACATACATATGTATATGTATGTATGTTACAATGAGCGTTACATTTTATCATTTAACAAAGTTCTAAAACTACAAACCACTTTGAAAGTTACATCAGATTACAACAATGAAAGTCACCATTCTATCATCTAGTAAATTATATTTATATATGTAAGTATATTAGGAAACGATAAAGCTTATGAACTTATCATATTTTTTTAATTCATGTTTCCAATATTTGAAACATGAATTAAATTATAGTTGTGTCACTTTAATAATTTGTCTCATAGTATTAATTAAAAATTGAATCCTAAAACCAGCTCTTTGTTAAAAAAAATCACAACTTTTAGTTTTGTATTAATTTTTTTTAAATGGATACTCACCAAGTTTGAGAAGTAAAAAAACTTGGGTTTTGAAGTTTATGAATGAAAAAAATATCTAATGAAAGCTAGAATGTTATGGAACAAAAGTTGCAGAATTCTTTATCTACAGTATCCATAAATAGTGGGTGAATCTACGGAAATAATATTTAAATTACACAACCTGAATTTACAGTATTTAAAGAAAATACTAATACAACTGAACTTTTAATAACTAAGTTAATAGGAACGAAATTACTATATTGTTTACATAACTGTTTTAATCAAATATAAATTTATATACAATCTAATATTCTCTACTTAGAAATACCTTTTGAAATCATCTCAATAACTTAAGATATAATCTTTTGTTTTCAGGAATGTGCATCAAAGCTTTTAAAGTTAATTCGGAAGAGAAATTTTTTATAAATTTATGCCAAACTGATGGTATTCCGCCCCCAAAGGAAATATCTGAAAATGATTTAACCGAAATATTACAATCTGATACACCAAGCTCTTTTCGTATACCTATGAGTATTAGTCAAAAACATGAAACAAAAGATAATTCTGGCAATTCCGTTGAAGTATGCGACATTGCAATTAATACGAAATTTTTTGATAAATGCTCTAAAATTATATTATTCCGAGACTTCTTGATTGCATTAATTTTGGAAGCATTGGATGAAAAATACAATATTCAATTAAAAAGTGAGAATTGGTTAATATTAAAAAATCGCAAATTCATTGGAACATTAGTATCACATCGTGTTAAAAATTCGGATGTCGAAACTGTATTAAATTCTTATGGAATGGGAACAGCAGTAAATGAAAAAAAATTGATTGAAGAAATAAAAGAGTCAGAAAATGATTCAGCAATAACGAATTTCAAAAATTCTGCCAACTATGGCAAAAAAGTAATGAGTACAAATAACGAAAAAAACATGAAAAATGCTCCTGGAGATAATTTAAGAAAAATTAAAGAGTCAATCGCATTAGCAAATTCTAAAATACCTGAATACAAAGTATTTTCAATCAAAAAGAACGGAATCGTTTCTGAACTTTTAGCTGAATTTTGGTTACCAGAATGTGTAAATACAAATAAAATGAAAATTTTCGAAGATTTTATAAAATGAAAGTTTATTTTAAATATCGTTTATTATATATTTTCAGTTTTCAATCAATGAAATTCATTTGGACATCGGAGAAGATCGAATTCTTTTAGAATCAATGAAACGAGGTTACCTTTTTGAAAAATTTACCGAATATAAAATAAATCAAGAGAAAATTGATGCAGTCTTTGATACCAAAGATAAAGTAATTACTTAAAAAATTTCAATTAAGATTAGGAATTTAATAATTATATAATTTAAAAATTTTGTTCCCTTTGTCTTTCAGATGCTTCGAGTTAAAATGGGTTTGATGATTTAAATAAAGAAATAAACAAAAGCATCCTCTATAAATTGAAGATCGAAGAAGAGGAAATAAGTTTAAATAATACAAACTATCAAAATTATTATTCTTCTGTAAATATAAAACTTTTAAAATATATATATATATCAGTTTTATTATTGAAAAGAATTTTACTGATTGAAAAAAAATCTCTTGTAAGATTTGATTTTTAATCTTTCAAAATTGTCGCTATTTCGGCAATGGCATAAAATTAAATCATTTCAATTCAAATTGAAAACTTAGCAAGTGATATAATTATACAAATGTGTACTCAATTAGCCTTCTAATAAGTTCAAAGAGATAATATTAAAGTTTTTGGTATTCTTGTTTCAAATTATTAAAATAATAAAATCATTAAATGTAAGTACTTATCTACGATACTTTACTAACTTTTTTTAAACTTCTCGTAGAAAGTAAAGTTAGTAGGTAACTACTTACCTACAATGCTTGATTTTTAACACGAATTTGAGTTGTCCCTGTATTAAATTATTACAATTATTCTACCGACGTATGAAATTATATATGTATATAATTATGTACTTAGGTGTTTTCTTTTGGCATTTCATATAATAGCCAAAAATTTATCAATAACAAGACACTAGACAGTAGTTATTATTTTAACAATATAGGCAAATATTTTAATTTTGTATTGTTTTATTATCATTTAATAAAAAAAATTAAAAATGTTAATTATGTACCTAATTTCTTACTCCCTTATTGAATATCTTTGGATTTTTTTATGACTGATTTGTTAGAACAAACAACAAATAAATATTAAACATTTAAAGCAAAATTGTTAAAAAATTCTTTTGGTTAAAGTCTCCATTAAATTTTCAACTAACCAATGAAACAATTTCTCCACCCAAACATATATTTTATTTAATTTTAACAAAGATTGATAAACAACAAAAAAAAATCTTTTTTATAAAAATATAAATGTACAAGAACTGTCACATGTCAATTTATGAAATATATTTTTGACTTTCAAAATTTGACAACTTTTTGTCAGTTAGAGTTGTGAATAAAAAGAATATTTTAGACTTTGCAAAAATGTAGCAAAATTTGCTGAATCAAAATATTATTTATAAATTTTTTACCTGCATCTGTGTAGATTGCACATTATTTGATACTTTATGTTATTTTTTATGTTAATATTCATTATCAAAATTTCAATGAGTTTACAAATCCAAGCGTGCGACGATAGAACTAAAAATTATTTTCATTATTTTTGACACTTTATAAAAAACATATTTTTATAGTAATAAAGGTACACTGCCGCGCGGTAAAATTGAGGTATGAAACACGGCCAATTAGGGACATGTCAATTCTCGTATATCACATACCGTATATATTGAGGCTTAGAACTAATTTAGTTAATGTTCAATATAAACAGCACAGATATGTATGTAGAAAGATTGCAGCAAACTGGGGTTTTCGATACCTATAATTTCAGGTTTTTTCAAAGTTCATTCAATAAAAAAGGAATTGCAAAGCTTTGATAATAAATAATTTATAGTTCAGATAAATAAAACATATACATTAACTTTCTACATTATTCAGTTATAATCATTTATGTATTTTACTTAAAGTTTAAAAAAGACTATTTAAAAATTTTCACTTAAAACAAAAATTTCTTAAAATATAATAAATTAAATTTTAATACTAAAACAAGAAATTACATGCGTAAATTTTCGATACAGAAAATAAAGAAAAATATACTTTACGGGCAATTAAATACTTTTGGCTTGTATAATAAATATAAAAAATTGGCACTTTAATAACATATTATAATCAATAAAAATAGTTGAATAATAACAGAAATAAGAAAAACAATGCTAAATATTATTGGGCCCACTATAGAATTGAAAGTTATGAAAATGGACTGGTGTTTTCGGACTTGAACAAAACATCAATTCATCATTTTGTAATTGAGTTTGGGTCAAATTAGGCTCGCTTGCACTTCGATGAATTTTGGGTAGCGTTCTCAACATATTTTCTATCATATTTAAAATTAATCTAAACAATGGTCTTTCATTTCGATCATATTTTATACTATCTTCAGCTAAACGTTTTAATGCTTGTGGGCAGTCCAAACGGATAGAAGACATATCTGGACGTAATAAACCTCGTCCAACCATAAATAAAATTTGGTCTTTATTATTAATATGATTGTAAGGTAGTTGTTCGGCCAGTAACTCATACAAAACTATACCAAATGCGTACACATCAGATTGGAAAGAATATGGATTTTGTTCTTGCATTCTAATTACTTCTGGCGCCATCCATAAAATGCTACCGGTTGGTTGTTTTGTCTGTTTTTCACCAGACCATCTTGTCTTTGCGGTTGCTAAACCGAAATCTCCAATTTTAACAGATAAATCTTCATGTAAAAAAATATTATTCGACTTCAAATCTCTATGTATAATATATTTTGCATGAAGATAATCCATTCCTTGTGCAACTTGCCTTGCAATTTCAATCAAAGTATTTAATTTAAATTTCGTTTCGTTCACATGAATATGTTTGTACAAACTACTCCCTTCACACCATTGCGTTACTATTGCTAACGAGGGTTTATACACACACCCCATAAATAACAGAATATTGCAGTGTCTGGTTTTTTTTAACATAGCTACCTCGTTTTTAAATGCTTGCAGCTGAGCAGCACTTGGTGTTTTGACATTTAAAGTTTTAACGGCAACAGGTCCATGCCAATGTGCTTTGTAAACTGTTCCAAATGAACCAGAACCTATACGCGGACCGATCAATATTTCTTCCGCTTGAATATTCCAATTTTCTTCAGACAATTTAGAATCTCTTGGAGTTAAAAGATTTTTATTGCTTTCATCAGCAGAGCGAGCTCTTTGCCTTTTAGGATGTTTAAGTGTATTTGTGGGTGAAGCTTGCGTCGAATGAGAATGTTCTGAATTTTGTTCTTGAAATGGTACTTTTGTTTGCATTAATGTTCTTTGAGCCTCAGCTGATAAGGGTTTAACAATATACATACATACATTTGGAGCAGAATTTGATCTATCGTGCTGACTTATCAAACGTGGTTGTCGTCCCTGAAAATTTTGAGAATCTCTATTTGCATTCATATAGCCTAAGGTGCTCTCTGGGTTTTGTGCTAGTAATCTCTGATAGTAATTGTCCATTGGAAGTTGCTGGCATAAAGTAGGTACCATATCAGCACAACGTTGATGAAACCGAAAGTTGCATTGGTTACAATAAAACCCTGTAAATAATAAACGCCGACATGCTTCACAAAATGCTAAGCTGAAAAAAGTTTTTCTAATAAACTGATGTGATATATGAGTCATAATAGGACATTTATCCAGAACTTTAACATAAACTTCATCCGCTTGAATATTACTTATGTCTGTATCCCACGAAATTGGTTTCCCATTCGAAGTCGTAGAAAGCTCACACATTCCAGGATTTAGATTGCGTCGTTTTAGTGCTTTCATTAATGCATCACGTAAACGTATTCCAGGTATAACTTGTACAGAAGTTCTTTGTTGATTAGGTAAATGAGCTCTTAAAAACAATTTTTTTTGCTGTTGATTCACTATTCCTATATCAATTTCAGTTTCTACCGGTTCTTTTTGATACTGAACATATTGCGATTCTAAGCTTGCTAATTTGTCAACTAAATCTTGCTCCTTCACTTCTAACTCGTGCAACTTTGAAGTAAGCTCTTGATATTCTGTTATATACATAGGCGGCGGTTCCTGTAAATTTGCAAAAGTTGCATTCAGAGCATCAATATTTTCTCTTGTTACATGTATCACTAGTTGAATATTTCGTAACTCTTCTTCGGTTTTTGATATCAATTCTTCTTCATCACCTTCACCAGACATATTTCTAAAAAGAAAATGTTCCATGTAATTAGATAATAACAAAATCGATAATATTTGATTTCATACTAAAATTATTTTTATAGAAATATTCAATCATGATGTAAATTTTTCATGTTTGTGAAAATAATATTCTAATGATAATTAACTTTGCTCACATCATTTAAATTTTAATAAAATCATAAAAATTAGCAGTTTTTTGTTTAAGTAGATAGCCAGGTAGGTACCTAAATTTTATTGAAATTTTGAATTGTATAGGTGCCTACCTACCCAAAATCTACATATGTACATCCATAATACACAAAAATTTGAATTAAATTATAAGTTTAATTGATAAATAGTTAAGTTTTCCATAAATATTGAAAGTAAGATCACATAATTATTAAATTTTATTCTTTTCTTAATATATTAAAAATCGGAGAGCAAAAATATCCTTGCCAACAAAAATTAGATATTGCGGGTAGGATAAAATAATATTCTAAGAACACTTACTCAGAGTCTTATTTTTACTATACGTAAAATTTATAAATCTAATTTAAAAATTTCAATGATTTGGTTGCAAAAATTTTTGACAAACTTCCAATTAAGTTGTTTTAAATGCAATTTATTTTTTATACATTCACAATTTTGAATTTAAGTACAAAACATCCACTCAAATATTTTTTTGTAAACAATTAAAAGAATTTTGCAAAAGTTTTATAATTGTCACTTTGAAAATTTGTTTGACTTTTTGAGTGCTATAAACACAACGCAAGCATTACGTTAACAGTCATAATAATAATATGTATGTCTGAAGTGAAGACCAACATTTTTGTTCGTTGCGCTTCTGTGATATGGACTGAAAACGACTTGTTACATTGAAATTTAAAAATTAGATTTATAGGTACATATATAGCAAAAAAGTATTTTATTTGAATATAAAAATGTTGTATATTTAACATTATACATTGAGAATTAAAATTAAAAAGGAATATTTGAAAAAAAAATTAAAAAACCAATTACTTTTAGTTTACAACAGGAAAGTTTTGTTCAAAAATGATTAGATACCGATGAAAATTGATTTTATGGACCGTCATTATTGACCTGTTAAATTAATAGAGTTTATTTTTACACCAAACTCATAAGAAAAATACAAGCCTTCAGCACGTTTACGTATACAATCAAATCTAAAACTTTTGTTACGAAAATTACAACCTAAATAAAAATTAGCCGATCAGTGTTCAAAATTCTCACATAAAATCAATTGTCGACATTTTATTCTTAAAAAATCTGACAAAAAATATGATGAAAATAAATTAATTTCTGTTATTTTCCGACTTACAAAATTTGAAGTCAAACAGGCTTACAGGTTGCATATACGACTTTCACCATACTCAGATAAAATCGTAGATTTTGTTGTATAAGTAAATCTTACCCTGGATCTTGTTATTAATAAAAACCTTACTCGTTCTGAAAATTTAAATTTTTTTAATGGTTGATAATTTTTCCGAAATATAATTCTTTTTTTTTTTATTGGTATGAAAAGAAGAAAATCAAATTTGATAAAGTGCGTATGTAGCGCACGAAATATATTAGCAAAAAAATAAAAAAAGTATTTTATTCCGAATAAAAGGAAGTTTTCTTTAAAGCTTGCTAAGGTATTGTTTAACCTAAAATTATTATTAAACTTGTTTATTCTAACATTCATTATCTTGTTCTTAATATTTGACATTAGCGTAAAAATGCTAGGAAATGAAATTAATTGGTTTGTAGGGTAAATTATAGACGGAATAGGAAACCTTTCAAATATCAGGATTACATCCAACCAAATATCAGAAATGTTTCCAAATACATAATTTGTGTTTAGCTTAAAGTTATTTATAATATAATATTAAAGTGCAAAAACTATTTTTTAATTAAAATTTATTGTCATTGCAATATTTCTAATATGTTTAATTAAAAAAATAATATAACCATTATCCTATGTTTATAAAATAAAAATTTTTTTGTTATTGATTTCTAAAACATTCCACGGCTTCTAGTTAATTTGTAATATAATTTGTACTGGAAAATGTCTTTACCAACTGCATCTCCAGCTACATTAGAAGAGGTTTATACTCAACAAGAATTCTATTTAGGTAAGATGGTTAAAAAAAGTAAATAGAAAAAGTTAAAGGTCCATTTTATTTTTTATTATATTTATGACGCACATTTTGTATTATGTATAATTTTTATACGTAATATGTACACACCTATATATGTACGTATACAAATTATATGTATATTATACTAAAATCTTAGTTTTTAAGTCTGCATTCAAAAGTTCTGAAAAAATGAATGGCTACTTAAAAAAGAAGTAGGAAACAGTTATAAACAAAGTTGCAAAGCTTAACTTAAAATGCAAATTAAGATGCTAATTTGAAAAAAAGATGCGAATTTGAAAGAAAGTAAAATTCAGTATTCAAAACTTAAGCGTATTAAGATGAACAATTAATGTAAATCTTCACATAGATATTTAATGAAACAATGCAACCTTTTATTCTCTAATTAAGAGATAATGAAATGCTTAATAATGTAATGAAAGTATATAAAAGAGGTCTTTAAATTTTTTATAGATAAATATACAATATATTTTTCTATAAATAGAAATATATGTATATGTATATATAAAAGAAAAAATTTTCATTTCTGTAAAATTTTATTCTTTTTCAGGTCTATGCTTAGCAATATCCTCATGTGTGTTTATTGGATCTAGTTTTATAATAAAAAAAATAGCATTAATTCGTTTGAGTCGTGGGGGAGAAATTCGTGCTGGAGCAGGTGGTTTTGGTTACCTTAAGGAATGGATATGGTGGGCTGGCTTAATTACAAGTTGGTTTTAAATATAAATTCTAATTATCTATTTGATATTAAATGCTTTATTTAATACTTTTATTCTCCTTCTAGTGGGAGTTGGGGAGATCGCAAATTTTGCGGCGTATGCATTTGCTCCTGCATCTCTAGTGACTCCACTTGGTGCATTGAGTGTTATTGTTAGTGCTGTGATGGCATCAAAATACCTTAAAGAAAGATTAAATTTGCTCGGAAAGCTTGGTTGTTTATTATGCATTCTTGGATCTACAATAATTGTTATCCACTCTCCAAAAGAAAAAGAAGTCGAAAATTTAGATGTTCTATTTGAAAAATTACAAGATCCAGGATTTATATTATTTGTCATCTTTATTTTAGGAAGTACAATTTTTGTAGCCTTTTTAATCGCACCAAGATACGGCAATACTAATGTTTGTGTTTATATATATTTATGCTCAACAATTGGTAGTTTAACTGTGATGAGTTGTAAGGCTTTAGGGTTAGCAATGAGAGATACATTTTCTGGTAAAAATAATGATTTTGGTACATGGCTACCATGGTTCTTGATAATATTGTCTGTAGTTTTCATAGCTATACAGATGAATTATTTAAATAAAGCTCTTGATATATTTAATACGAGTATAGTAACACCGATTTATTATGTGATTTTTACAACATTAGTAATAATAGCATCAGCCATATTATTTAAAGAATGGAAACACATGAAACCAGAAGATATTCTTGGAGATTTTTGTGGTTTCTTTATTGTAATAATAGCTGTATTCATGTTAAACGCTTTCAAAGATTTGGATATTTCTTTAAGCGATGTTCGTGGAATTATGAGACCTCGAATGCATCGATCTGGAAGTGGTACAAGCTATGAACAAATACAATACGATGAACCAGTTTTAATTCGACATGGCTCAAAAGAAAAAATATATAACAATGGTTATGGAACAAATGATTTAACTCGCAAAGTTTGACTGGAAAATTTTGTTTAAAAAAGATCGAATGAAAAGAACTAAATGCATAGATATACAAAACATACATATGTATATTAAGCAAAATTATTTAATATTACAACCAAAGATATTTTGTTTAAATTAGTTTTATCAAATCGGTATAATTTTTTTTAAAAGACATGATTAGGAGTTTTGGAAAGGTAGTGATTTCTTGTAAAATATATATTGGAACTGTAATACTAATAGATTATGTATAAGTACGTAATTATCTTTATTATATAACCATGTTAGGTTTTATATAATTACTTGAGATTTAAATCACACGCATTATTCTTTTCAGAGGCAAAAAATGATGATTTTAAAAAAGGAAGAATAGTTTTACGCAAATATTTAATGTGTAAAAATCAAAAAATGTAATGGTGCTTAGGTTTAGGGCCAGTTGAAAATCAAAATAATTTCAATCTTTTTGTCACAGTTAACATCATTCCAAAATATTTCAACAAATTTCATAAAAATAGAGTTCAGGTTAACAAAAATACCTAATTTACAAATATTATTTTAAATATTTAACCACATTTTTATGAATGCTTATCTAAAATTTTCAAATATTCTATATAAAATCGAAAATATGTATCGGAAACGGAAATTGACTATAAAAAACAACTACTTTTAGGTAATTTTATAAATTAAATTATATTATCTTTATTGACTAAAATTTAAGATAATACTTATAACTGTATTCCTTATATACAAAAATTCAACACATATTGCAAAATATTTAAATCCTTTTTATAATCAAAATTGCACTACCTATTTATTCATTTTCAAAATACTAGTTTAATAAATCAACCAATTAAAAATATCTACATTTAAGAATAAATTTATAAAAGTTTAAACATTACGAAAGTAAGTTATAGAAAAAAAAGCAATTAAATTAATTAGAACTTCCATCATTACTTTGAAAAAAAAAACGGCAGAATTATTTTTCTTATATCTAATAATTTTACTTTTATTTTATTGATGATTAAATTATTTTAATTGTAAGAAATAAAAAATTAATTTATTAAATATAATTTTGTAGAATATCCCAAAAATTCTTTTATTGGTTTCCTCCCATAATATTTCTAATACACTTGTCAAATTTTCTGGAATAAAAAAATTATATTTACAAAAATCGTAATTGAAGGGATTTTCTTACAGCGAAGTTAATTGTTCTCCTGGTAAATAAAATGGATTGCAAACTGCGTCAGTGTAAAGAATATGTAAGTTACGAAACATCTAAAAGGGAATGCTTACTTAAAATGAGTAAAAGTTAAGTTTGATAAATGTTTTACCGATCGAACTTCATTTTCTCTTAAAGCAATATTTCCAGAATCAACAACAATAATAAATTTAATTTTAGTATTCGTGACGTACCCATAGCTAAAAAAAAGAAGCATAATTGATTTACACAGGTAGGTATTATCTTTTTTAAAAAATATTTTACATTTTATGGTTTTCGGTTGAATATAATAATCCTAAATATAAATCTTTAGATTCCTGTAAAGCCTTAGTTCCCGGCATACATTTTTCTTCGACAACATCAAGGGCAGCATGAACACGATATTGTAGTTCCAATTCCTTATCTAAATCCGTGGTTCCAATGTACAATGGAGAATTCTAAAATAGGGTCCAATTTAGTTTTATTTTCCCATACGCATTTTTCATTAAAAAAACTTACATCCTTTCCAATAATTGCAATGCAAACTGCCATAGTTTATTTCCTATTTAGTATGGGTATAATTTAAAAGCTTTTAAATATTAATGTTTAAAATTTTTGAGAAAATTGTTCATTTTACAAAACGATTTTATTGTTTACAACACTTTACAGTCAATAAGAAAACAAATGTTAAATTTTGACATTTAAAAATTTCAGAATATACACAACGTATAAATCAAAAAATGAACGCGTCAAAATACATTCTTTCAAAAGTTTAGCTGGAATTTTATAAAGAATTTGACAAACGCAATTTTGCAATATGTCAAAATGTGAATTTGATTTCCCTAATCTATTCTAAAGAAGTATGGAAGTGAAAGAATTATATGCTAGATAGCAACAAACAAAGAAAAATAAAGAAAAAAAAAATATCGATATTAAAAAACCTGTTTATTTCTCGTTCATTTGACGGCCAGGTTAACCGTCACTCAAAGAAAAAAACCATTCAGGTCATTAAAATCAAATGAGCTTTTTAGAAGTGCCTTCCAGTTAACCCTCAAAGCAACCGGCAATCCATAATAATTTCAAAACGGAAACAGTTTGAGAAATACTGTGCTGCCATAGTAACGAATTGTTTTTACATTGTACTTACGTGGTATTTACTTAGTAAATAAATATCGTATATTAATATTACTATTTTTATACATCTTAAGGGAACAATTAAAATTTGATTAATAGAAATTTTGTTTTTATATTTTAACTTAATTTAGTTTCAAGGTATGGACTGGGCAGAGGATTTGAAATTTTCAATTAGAAAAGTAAGCGAAGTGCCGGAAATTTTCAGAGTCATTCAAATTTAAATGAATTGTATTCAAATTTAAATGAATTGTATTCAATTTTAAATGAATGAAAAAATTAAACAAGTTCTTTAAGTAAAAATTCTTTCTTTTTTATTTATAAAAGACGACAGCCAAAATGGGAAGAAGGGCTGCAAATAGTTCAAATGATGCTCAAACATCAAATCAATCAACAAATAATCAAGAGGGAGTTAGTTCGCCTGAATTGAATTTGGATCTCAGTTTGGAAACAAGCGAAAAATTAGCCAGAAATGGGCCACCTAGACGTATATCAGGCGGTTGGGCGGAAAGCGCTTCTAAAGCCAGGGAAGTTTCATATTTAACATTAATGTAAGCTTATACAATTCTAAAAAGATATTTTAATTTTAGGAGTCTCTCCAAGAGCACTTCTGAAGAGTAAGTATGTAGTCTAAAAATAAATTTAACATGAACTGAATCCTCATTTGAAAATTTTAGCGAAAGATTTATTTCTAAAACTAATTCTTTGGAAAAAACAACGTCGGACGATGACATTCCTGTAATACCTGACTTAGATGATATACAAGACGAATTGCTTATGAGTGAAATTATTGAGCCCCCATCGTAAGTGAAAATACTAAATTTTTTTTAAATATAGGTATATAATTAATTTATATTTCAATGTTTGCTGCTAAGGGTAACTGTCAATAGAGTTGTAACTCTAAAAGAGCTGAATTCAGACTTATTAAATCAGAAGGCATTTTCTTCTTTGGAGGACGTTGACTTAAGTGTTCTTACAAAGTGTTTGCAATCACAATCATTATTAGAAGATGAAGATATAGTTTGGGAATGGGAAAAATTGTTCACAGAAATAACGGCAGAAATTCACTCGCAAAAACCTCTTTCAGCAGAAAAAAAAGATTCAAATACAAAAAACAGTGTTACAAATGATGATGTTAACGGCGGTCATATACAGTTTTTAAGTTAGATCAATATTTTTATTTTCATCACATACAATATAAAATTCCGTCCACATTCACAAATAAAAGTACAATATTTGAAAAAAGTGAAAGTAAACAAATATATTTCAAACAAAAACTAGTTTTTTTAACAATTAATCTAGAAAAACTAAAAATTAATCGTTTTGATTTCTGACTTCGAAATTGTGGACAGGCACATTCCCTATATAATTGGGACTTGAAATGAAATTGCGCCATTTATCTATTGGAATTATTTTATCAAATTGAATTAATCCAAAATCGTCGTCTACCATTTCGAATATTTCACAAAAAATTTCTGATTCTACCACTAAAGTGTATTGGCATATCTTTGGCTCCAATAAGTACATAGACACTGATGTTGGGCTTGGACTATTTTCATGACAGCGTAATTTAACTTCTGTTTGTCGTTTTTCACCAGTTTTTTCACACGTGGTACCACTATGGTAAAAATGTGATAACTCTGTCCTTATGTTTTTCGGTTTTGGACGTTTTTCAGGATTGTTTTTGATCCAATTAATATGTGAATCTTTATCAAATATTCCCAAAGTTAGCGAAGTTTCGCCATTTTTGTCTACATGGTATTGTCTTACAAATTTTCCAAAACAGAATTCAAATTTCCACCAGCCGGTTCCCTATGCAGTTAAAATTATATTTAGATAAAAAATATTATTGATTTAAGAAAATAAGCTTTTATAAAATTACGCCAGTTAAACATGATTTTCCGGTCAAAAAATCAAAAGTTTTTTGTTTAGGATTGTCTGTAAGTCTTATATTGCTATCTGAGGCTGTTGTTGCAGGAGCTTTAGCCTTAATACTAGTGATTTCTTCGTTTGGAATTGCGCGTGACGACTGTTCAGTATTGAAATCCATTTCCAATAAGCCAAGTTGTTCAAAATTGTTTTCTACTACATCGATACTCATTTCACCCTGGAATATAAACAATGAAAAATTATAGTTATTTATTAAAACCTTAATCAAAATCAAGCAAATAGAAGAACATCAAAAAAATTCATTCAATCAAGCAAAAATAACCAAAAAAGAATGGTATAAATTTAGCACAAACCTTCTCATTAAATTTGATTATAGCAACACTTCTCACAGGCTTTGTTGGAGAGGATGTTTCCTTAATGTTTTTATACATAAAAGAAAATAAAATAAAAGTAAAGTTACAAAGCACTAAAATATATCATTTTGCCTCTTTACTACTAGCTATTTTTAGTTTTTTTTTCTACAATTATGAATGCATTTCAAATTTAAGAATAGGTGAGTAATTACAAATTATAAGCTAATGAATATTATAAAAAAAAACATTAAAATTATAATCATGCAAAATTATGATTTTATGAAAAATTTGAAAATTCTACACGTTATGTATATTGCTTTTCTACAAAATAAATGTTGGTGATAATAACAATAACAATTTTCAATACAGAATGTTATTAAGGAATATCATATTATTAAAGAAGTATTTAGCAAAATTTTCTATTCATTAGTATTAAAATATTTGTGTTTTCTTACTGTTGTAGAGAGTTGTTTGGGACGGTACTTCAAATTATCAATTTCATTGTACAACCAACTAAGCGGCTTATCAGGTGCATCTTCTAAGGGTAAACAATTTATTGAGTTTTCTTTGGACTCTTCTGGTACAAACGCCGGATGCATACATAAAGTAGTGGTTAAAACTACGGCCTCATAATTACATGACGATGTCTCTTTAATCGAATATACTTCGACTTTTCGATGTGGATAGCAAACGTAACGAATTTTTGTTTTACGTGGTTCATTATTCAAATCACAAACTGTACCATCAGTCATTTCAACCTCCAAATAAGGATAATTAATGTTATCAATTTTCGTTGTTTTAAATTTTTTCCCACTCTCAATATCAATTTGTATTTTTTGCTTTAGCTCATCGTTTTTAACATCATCCCATTTACCTAAAAAGTACTCTTGAGATTTTAACTGTTTGCCATCTCTTTCCTCATGATATTGCTTAATGTGATATCCATGACAGATTTCATATGTCCAGTACGCTTCCACACGGTAAGAACAACTCTGTTTTGAATACATAATACTTAGATATTGCAATGGGGCTAAAAAACCAATTGTTTTTCTTTTATGATTTCTTAAAGTATATTTATAATTTTATATACTTAAATCTTAGTTTAAAACTTACATTTACTCATATCAAATTTTTTCTCCGCTTCAGATTTCGTTTCGGTTATCGGTATCATACACTTATATCTCTCTTGATGTTTTGTAGTCACAATCAATTCCTCATAATTATAATCGTCCTTTAAAAAATTTATATCATTAATTGGAAAATACGATATACACAGGCTTATACTTACTTTGAAAAGGAAATCTCCCCCTGGAAAATCAATCCCGTATAAAACTGTTTCGTCGAAATCCTTTAGGTCTTGACCCATTAAGACACCACAAAAAAGTGGTAATATAATCAGGATAGATTTCATTTTAGAAATTTTAAAAAGTAAGTAACTAACATATAAATTAATGATCATAGCAGAGTTATATATAATTTACATTTGGATATTAAGTCTAACCAGTATTACTCAAACATACACCGTCTGATAATGGCGAGTGCTGCCATATGAATAATGTTTGAAAAGTGATTTGGAACTTATGTATTATTTTTGAATTAAGCAAAATCGTACGATTTAGTCTGAAACAAACAATATTTGAAAACATATTTGATTTGTAAAAACCCAATCCAATAAAATATACTAAATCGTATGGAAATATAGAATCGTACTTATTTTTCATCCAATTTTTTGACAACTAAAACAATTAAAAATGTACTAAAAAGTGTGAGTACTAAAATTTTCGATGAATAAAAAAAATAACGACGAAAGTGTCAAAAACTTTGACAAAATCAAATTTGATTTGTGAACTATAATTCGATGTGTTATATGATTATATCTGCTTGATTTGTAAATACTCACTTAAAAAAAAAGTACAGCTTAAGGCGGTTTCATTTTCTTGCCATCAAGCTGAGTCATTTCAAAACGAACAAAACCTTTTCTTGATATGCTGTTTGACGTTTTTTTGATAAAAATTGCATGTAATTGCAGTAGCACATTAAAATAATATTAAAACTGACATTTAAAAAAAAAATCAACTATCACTTTTTGTTTATATTCCAATTTTTACTCAAACAATTCAAACAATTCAAAAGTAAAATTTTTACTTCAATTTCCTTCACACAAATAAATTCCGACACTCCTTGGTGACCTGATAGATATATATGGCATTAGTAAAAACTATGTGACGAAAATTAGAGCAATACCTAAATTCCTAAGTGAAATCAAAAATTGGATTGTGAATATGAGTTACGCAAACATTGAAAAGCCTTTTTTTAGGAGTAAATTATTATTGTAAGAGAATGTAAAAATGGGAACTCAGCTATTTTTTTTATTTTGGACCGAAAGTATTTTTTGTACTGCCAGCTTAGGTTTAATTATCTATTACTAGGTTCCGTTTTGTTTAACGCGTCACATTGACGTTTCATTTTCTATCACTCCAGTAATTGACGTTTTCAACTTGTTTATTTATATTTTTAATTTCATTACTCTTTTTATAATTTCTAAATCAAAATGCCTTCTTTTTGTGTTGTATTGGATTGTGAACAAAAATATGCTCATACTGATGATGTCTCATTTCACAGGTAATTTAATCTGTCTAGTATCAATTGTTATAAATTACAGAAATCTATTATTTGTTACAAAACTGCATAAATTAGCCATATGTGTACAAGTATTAGCTCAAAGACCTTATTTTAAACATATATCTTTCCATGTAATTCATATTTCTTTTATTATGCAGTATTCTAGCCGTGTGACTATAAAAGTAAATAATATTATCTAGTCAAATAGCCATTTTTAGTTAATATTGCAAAGAATTCGTTGATTGTATACCTACATAAGTAAAAATATATGTATGTACGTATTATATTAAACCAAGCAATAAAATCTTTCAGATTTCCAAAAGAAGAAGAATTGTCGAACCAGTGGAAGAATTTCACGGGAAGATGCGATGATTGGCATCCGTCAAGATGGTCAGCCATATGTAGCAGACACTTCAAAGACAGTGACTTTCGAAAATATGCGACAAGAAAAATACTCAAAAAAAATGCAATTCCAACGATTACGAGCTGTCGAAATGTGGGATCCAATATTCTTGCAACAAATGGAAACCTTAGCCAATCTATTTCAAAAGAAAACGTAAAAGTAATAAATGATTCTGAAACTTACGAAAATAAAATTTTCGGAACTGACACCAAAGAATCAAAGATAATTTCTTTCGAACATCATCTGCAATCCAGAGATTCAAACACAGTAACCACTTCCGAAACGGAGAATGCCTTAAATAATGTTTCAGAAATTTTAAGTATACCATTAGAGATGCCTTTATGTATTGAGTCACAAAACTTAGAGCAATGCAACATATCCCAACAGGATATTGCCAATAACGATACTCAACAATACGACATAAATTTAAGCGTAAATTCAAGTTTTTTAAATTTTTATGAATCATCCACAGCGCCTTGTAGATTATGTGGCCAAGAAGACCATATAACGAATTCTTTTCTGAATGACTTTGAAATTTTCGGAATGATTCAAAAATGTATGCCAACTTTAAATATACGACAAGATGATATGTTTTCCAAAGAAGTTTGTTCTAACTGTTTAGAGCAACTGGAAAACTTTAACGCTTTTGTAGATCAAGTAATTTTACATCAGAAGAATTTAATGGAAAATGTACAAGCTGTTAAGCAATTAGGGAAACATTCCACAGTTATTTCATCAGTGAAAATAAAACAAGAGCCAGTTAATAATATGAAGGTATGTCGTTAAAACCTTTTTTTTTTGTTGTTCCCCTTAGGCCCCCCTCACGTCGACCCATAAGATCTTTTGTGATTCCCATCCCCCTTACATTAGCCCTATACCTAGGCCCCTGACAAACCGCAGTATGGCAGCCACATCAAGCTGCGAGATCCTCCTCGGGGTCACAAAGCCCCTCTCCCCCGAGCCATCTCAGTCGCAGGCGAGCAACCGCCTCGTAAATGCTCCATGGTTTTGTCCTCCTCCAGGCATAAACGGTAGACCTCATCCGCCACCCTGCCCATCCTTTTCAGGTTGACCCTTGAGAGGCAGTGTCTAGTGAGAACCCCCACTAATGTCCTCAAATGTGGACGACTGAGCATGGTCAGACCCCGTCCCACCAGTCCCAGGGGAGGCACAAATTTCCTAGAGTGCGACAGGCCCAGGCAGCTACTACAGTGTTCAACTCTGGCCCGCTCCTCCGATTCACTAAGGCCACGCAAGACCGTTGTCTTGGGCACCCCAAAGCATGGCTCCGGCCCAATTGAGGTAGCCGCCGCTCCCTCCCTGGCAAAACCATCAGCTCTCTCATTTCCTCCAGTCCGTAGTGTCCTGGCACCCACATCAAGATTAATTTGTTGTGCCTAGTTAGGACGCCAACCTTACCTTAAAACCTTAAACAAAATGTAAAGAATTTAAAATTTTTTTATTGTCTCTTTCTATACAAGATGAACATAAAACAAGAAATTTTAGATACACAAATTTCCCAACATAATGAAGGGACTATAGATGACCGTGACAATCATTTGAATTCTGTACAGTTTAATATTCAAGATCAAGATGAACCATTTCCAATTGAACCAGAACCTAAAGAACAAAAATTCTTACGAGAAAGTAGTTCTTTAACTACTCGAGAAATCGTAAAAAACTGTGATATAATTGAAATAATAAATTTGGAAGACGGTTATATAGACATACCTGATGATGAAATAGATGATCCACAAAATGGCATTGAACAAATAAATACAAACGAAAATCATCCAAAAGTAATAGACAATAAAGAAATAAGAATAAAAAAGAAGATAACTGAAGATGTAGAATCTTTTTCTAAGGAAAACATAGTTCGGCCACGTGTAGTCCAAAATGTTATAGGGGAGCATAATTATACCAGAAATTGTGATGTCGAATTTGATCTAATTTTAAAAGCTAATGAATATAAGCAGGAAGAACCAGAAGACCAAATGAATAATAACGAAATCAACACAACAAATAATAACAGTTGTGGAGAAAGTCACGATCAATTAACATCTAACTATGTTTTACATAAAATTGAAGCAACAAATTCACCAAAAAAGACTATTCCTAAAAAAGAAAAATTTTCAGAAAAATCAAATCCAGCTCTGAAATGTATTGAAAATAAGACATCTTGTGATAAAAAAACAAATCCCATGCAAATATACATAAAAATTCCAAAAATTAGTCCCACTAATTATAACAATGAGTCTTTAAGTACAATGAGAGAAATGGAAAACATTAATATTGCTCCTGAGTCTACAGATTGTTTAAATACTCCTGAAAATAATTTATTAATATCAAATATTACAAAATTAAAAAACTCGAATAAATCAAATATAGTTGTAATAAATGAAAGCATACTTAAACCTGGTGATACACAACATTTTGAATTATACAAGTGCCTGGAATGCAGCATCCAATTTTTCTCAGTTGATAACTTTAAGGAGCATCAAAAATTTCATCATTCTGCATCGTCATTTAACGAAATAAAGACTTCTGAGCCCATATGCACACATTTTTGTGTTTTATGCGAAACAAATTTTGATTCTTTTTACGATTTGCTTAAGCATCGCAGCAAATGTCGTATTCAAAATTCGTTTTCTACTAAAAAACCTAATAAGAATTTAAAAAACGTTTATAATTGTCCAATGTGCTCAAAAACTTTTATATCAAAATTAGCCTTGAATAATCACCGAAAATATATTTGCAAGTATCCGAGTGGACACAAATTTATTTGTAAATATTGCGGAGATAATTTTAAAAAGTGGATATTATGCAGACGTCATGAAAAAATTTGCCGGATTTCCCACCTTACAATAATTAACAAAAAAGAAGATTTAACTAAGACAAAAAGAAAAGAAGATAATGGAAAACTAAAAGCGCCAAGTAATGAGAAAAAAAAAATTTTAAATTGCAAAGAACAAGAAACCTGCAAAAGTCGATATTGTTGTGAAACATGCAACAGGTCTTATGACAGGTATCAAAATTTAATTCGTCATAAAAAAATTCACAGACCTAAAGAGGAATGGAATTATAAATGTGGTAGTTGCGAGAAACGCTTTGATCGCATGTATGATTTAAAAATACATTTAAAATCTGCAGAATGTCCATGTGTACCATCAAAGCCAGATACAATATTTTTTGTTTGTCAAATATGTGGCAAAAAATTTAAAACATTGCAAATTCTCAAAGAGCATGGTGTAACACATTCAGATATGTTTTCATACGTTTGCCAAATATGTAACAAAAGCTTTAAGGCCTTACGAAATTTAAGACAACATAAAATTACTCATACCAGTGCAAAAACGGTTCAATGCGATTTATGTGACAAAACGTTTAAAAGATTGAATGGTTTACTACAGCATAAAAGAGGTTTTCATTTAAAAATAAAACCTCATGTTTGCGGAGTTTGCAAGCATGCATATTCATTAAAAGGAGATATGCTTCGATGTAAGCATAAATATTTAAATGTAGAATAAGTTAATACACTTTTTTCAATAGCTAGTCAGTGGCAATTTTTTTTTTGTACTAGTCAAATTTGCCCTAAGAAGTCTTAAAGTATATGATAATAAATCTAATTAAACTATCAAAATTGTAACTATGTACTACTTTTCTAATTTTTGAGAAAGGTTGAAAATTTTTTAATAGTTGTAATAGCTCTTCATTACAAATTTAAAAACAAAATCGTTAACTTATTTTTTGTAACTTTCTTGTCAGTTATATTTTCTAACTCAGTTAATCTTTTGCACACTTCTAGTTCCCAAATAAAATTTAGTAAATTATAATAAACTTGAATACTTATTAGGGGTATCATTCATCTCTGTTTTAATAAAAAAATAAAAAATTTCGATGTATATTAATATACTTTAATTTTATAATTTTAATTTTTTTTCATTTCTGGTTATAATTTTTCATAATATATGTATTTTTTCCAGTATATTATTATTATAAAAGAAGAAAAAGAAAATTTTAATATATTTACATTAAAAATAAAAGAAAACGAAACAATGTTTTATATTTAGCTTATATCTAATAGTTACATAACTTTTAAAAATAATATTGCATATAATAAAATTAATTAAAATTGTTAGAATATTCTTTCTATATTTAATTGTAACTTAACTAAATAAATACATAAAGCAAAAAAATAATATTTTGTTCAATTATTTTTTTTATTAAAAAAAAGTTATCTACATTTAGCAAATATTATAAAAAACATGAAAAGGAAAATCTAATTAGGAAAAGTTCATCCCAAAATTTACTGTGAAGTTAACCTAAACCGCGTTAATGTAGTTCGAAAGTAAGGCACAAGACGCTATGACAAGACCTGCCTTTGATGGTTAGAGAAAGGGAGGTCGAAGTTAAACCTTTGGGTAAAACTCCCCGAAGGGGTTTTGTAGAAGCGCTTTGAAAGGTTGCTTAAGATGAAGAATTTCAGTACCTATCAAAATTACGTCTAAATTAACATTTAATTTTTTGTCACTAGTGCTCTTATTCGCCGAACGCATTCAATTTTAAATTAATTAGTTTTTGATAAAAGTCTATTTAACACTTTAAAAACAAATAAAATATAAAAATTTGTAATAAGTACTATTAATTTTTTGTAAAAATTAATATTGTAGAAATAAAAATTTGTAGAAGTAAATAATGAGAATTTTTTTTTGGTTTTGTAAATACAAGTTATAAAAGAAATTCAAAAATACATATTATAAATAATTTAAATGTCAAAATTTCGAAGATTTTTAATGTGCATGATATTTTCCGAAAATAAATTCTCAATATTTTTTATTTTTAATTAGTCCGTATGATGCTATGTAAATTTTATTAAAATTAATTAATTTAAAATGCAGGTAAAAATTTTTAATAATTATCGAAACGATTTCTTAATTGCATTTAAAAATATAATATGTATTTCAAAATTTTATTTTAAAAAATAATAGAAAGATTCAACATTGATACAATTTAACCAAAATAAAATATATACACTATATAATATACATATATCAACATTTTAATGAAATAATTTAAAATTATATTTATTTCAATTTAATTGAAAAATTATTGTTTTGCATTAAAGTAACTGAAATTTACATAAAGTATTTAATGGCACTGACAAATGTTACAAGTTTTTTTTTTTTAGGTATTTAATATATAATTTTTGAAGTCAAATTTGTTAAAATTTACAAAAACACTCTACTTTATAATTAAAAGGTTTACACTATAACTTTTGGTGAAATTTAATTAAATATACAAAATTAAACAAGTTACAAATGATCGAGTTAATATATTTTTTTTATAAATATTTTACATAACTTTTAAGAAACATTTACTAATATTGATTTTATATAATTTTTTAATGTAATTGGTATTGTATAATTTGTTTATATGTTCTTTATATAATATTACGTATGCATGTATGTCGCATTCAATTTATATTGAAAGTAATGTTATATCTGTATAAAAATTAAAATTTTTAAAAATGTTCTTGAAAGTATTTTTTCGGCGTTCAATAATAATTTTTTAATAAATTTTCCACGATTCTATTTCTATTACAAAAAAGAAACAGCAGTCATTGTTATTATTATGGTAAAGGACATGATAAAATATAAATGCTATTTAAATGTTAGTTTTTTTATTAATATTTTAGGCATTTAATTAATATCATTCGTAGGGGTTATGGTGAGATTTAATGATAATTTAATGAATAGTATGGAATTTGTAGTGTTTTTATGTGCATGATAAACGAGCTTTAATTTTGGTATAATAGTAGTTATTTTATCCGTTTTTAGCTTAATATAATATTTTTTTTTTAATATTTAATTTTGTTGAAATATTGCAGCTCTTTGTTGAAATTGTGCTCTTCGTACAACTTTTTCTTCTTCAGCTCGTCTTCTTTCCTCTTGTTCTTGTCGGATTTCATCATGAAATTTATTGGTTTTTGATAATTCTTCAATTTTGGCTTCGAAAAAATTTTTAGCACCATTAACACCAACTTCATCGACATTTATTTCAGTTAAACGGGCCAATTGACCTAAACCTGAATCATTTTCCAATTCACCAGCTTGTGCCTTACGATAAATTAGCAAAAACTCTCTAAATGATATTTTACCATCATGATCTTCATCAACCTCTGATATCATTGCTTTTAAACCCAAATGCGTTTGTGGTGCACCAAGTTTTTCCATCATAACTTTTAATTCTGATAAATCCAAGAATCCGTCATGACCAATATCATATCTACAACAAAAAAAAAAAAAAAAAAAATTTAGTAACTAAAGTCTAAAAAGAAATTTATTTAGAAACATATGAGCATACATAGGCATTATATTTAAATAATATAGGTAACAAAAAAAATTATTTAAAATTATTTCAAATTTTTAATTACGAAATCTCATACTTTTGTACTTTAATTTCATAGACAAAAAGCGCGAGAATGTTGTGTGTAAATTAATAACAAAAAATTTGAAGTACTTATTGCAAAATCGACAACAATCCATTGTAGGTACTTAACATATAAAAGATTTCTTTTAAAATGAAATTTTGAAATAAAAATTGTGACACCTTATATAATATTCTTATATTTTACCATTAAAGAATACGTAAATATTAGTATAGTGCATCAAAAAACGCAAGAAAAATTATAATTAAACTCGACTTTCTAATAATAACGATTACTTTTACTTGGCAGAAAGCGAAATTTCTCTATTGCAACACGTGGAATTTGTAAAAAAAAATAAATTTTCTTGAAAAAACTATGTTTGAAAATATTATTTCGCAAAAATTAGTGCAGTATTTGGCAATTTTCTAAAAAATTTATTAAAACAAAAACAGAAATTGAAGCATGTATAATGGTACTTATTTAGGTTTCACATAAAATTTCAATAATTACATTACAAACAAATTATTTTATTGCATTCAAGTACCCACACACATTCATACAAAAATATTAATTATTTATTGTTTACAAACGCTACTATATTAATTACAAAGGGAGTACCCTACCAAGGCTCCTACATTTTAATACGAAAGCAAAAACAAAATTGTTGTTCAGCAACACCATTTAAAATTCCAGTATTGTTACTAAGCCATTACTCTTTCAACAGAATTAATTAAAGTTTATTCTGCTAATTTTGAGAAATGTAAGAGATAATTCAGGTACAATTAAATTTTGAATTATTCAGAATTTTTTGAATCTTGCAAAATTTTTTAAAATTTTTTGTAAAATAATTGTAGCTATACTAAAAATTTATTTGATTGTTCCTTAAACAAAAAATAAAATTGTTACTATAGAAATACATGTAGATATGCATAAATGTATTTTTTATTTTATAATATAAGAATCATGCTAAAAATAATTAAGATGTTTCAATACTCTCAAGCCATTAAACTTAAACTTAAAATGAATTATCGTTTTTTTATTCATTTCACATTACAAAATCATTATTTTATCTTCCTATTATGTCGTTGACTAGCTAAAGTAACGTTGAATTCGAATGCATAAAACATGTGCATGAATATTTTATAATTTCAACTAAACATTAATAAATAATATTTACTCTCTATTGAGAGATTTTTTCAAACTAACTGCATTTATTTTAAAATTCAGTTTTTTTTTTCTTCTCATTTTTAAAATTTATTAAAGACCTAATTGTTGTCACTATTAGGATTGAGTGCGAAAAAGAAAATTGTGCGTCTTGAATCTACATACAATTTCCAATTGATGTAAATGTCAATTTGCTACTTTTTATTTATATCGAAAATTTTTTTATATACATATGCATGGGGCAAGTGCAAATTTTCATTAAGCTAAGATATCAAAAATTTCCAGAGCCTACAAGACTGATTAAAACAAGAAAAGAGTTTTCTTGCAAGTGATAAATTGCATATAGCAAAACAAAAAAAAAATGAATTAATCAGACAAAAGTTCCGTAGAAGCTCTCGTTCAAAAAATAAAGTAAAATTGAAAGTGAAACGATAATAAAATACATTATATGTGACTACTGTTTAGTATACCTATCATGCTTGCATGCATATATGAAAGAACGAACTTAATATACAGTATGTACGGTGTGTGTACATACATTTATGTCAAAGAAAAGAAGAGAAAAATAATATAAAGGAATTAAGTACTTACAGGTGAATGAGTAAACAGGTTTGACACAGTTATATAGCTTTTATGATTATTTTTAGTTTTTTAATACCGCACTACTACGTTATTTTACTACTATATGCTTTGTTTTTTTTATTATTGTAGTTTGTAAATATTGTAAAAGAAGAGAGCTGCAATGAAATTAAAAGTTATAAGGTTGCTTATCAAGTTGCCTGTGACAAATAAATTGATTAAATAGAAAAAAAGAATAATTTTTTTTTATCTTTTCTTTCCTGAAAAATTTTCTTTCCAAAGAAATTCATTATAGCGGAAATTAGGTATAAAATATTATGAATGAAATTAAGTTAATTGAAAAAGTAAAGAAACGGGAAGAATATTTTTTACGAAAATTTAAAAAAAACTTAAGAATATTTTGATAATTTTCCAATTTCATTTTCGAAATTGCAACTATGTAAATGTTTGTCGGAACTCTGAGACTTTCGTTCGGAATTTTAATTTATAACGGAAACATACCGCCAAATTTCTGTTGGGTCAAAACCGAGATGAAATTTTTTTTACACAAAAAAAATTATCAGTGTACGATCGCAAGTCATAATTTCACACGTTTAATGGAGGTTTTAATGGAAGAGAGAAAATTTCGACACCAAGAACATCTTATGCAAACATTAAAATTACACGGTTATCGCAATATAATAAAAGATAATTTTTGAACGTTTTTGACATATGCATGTCTTTATTGATCGCAAATTTATACTTACGCTCTGTTCTTTTCTTTTAAAATAAATTCTGTATAAATTTTATAATGATTGATCTCTTCAACTATCCAATTTGTTTCATAAAATTTCAAAACGATTAATAGTCATAATCGATCACAACTTCATTTTCATTAACAAAATTACACTGTATATATGCATATAATATGTAGTAGTGTAAGCATAAAAACTTGATATTCAGCTAGGTTACATGTAAGGTAATACTGTTAATTATGATGAATAAACATGTTTTAAATTAATTATGATTTAATATATTGTTTATTGCTTAACATTATGATTAACAATGCAGATTTCCTGTGTCAACAAGTTAATATTTTTTGAAAAGACTCTTCTTGTTCACTGAATACGGCTTACGGTTATAAAACATTTTATACTAATATAAATGTTTACATTTTATAACTATTATACAATTTCATTATTGCAAATTATCAATAGCTAAACGAAAAAAATTAACTTTCACTATTTGTACTAAGTAATAGATGATCATTTTATAGTTAAAGTGTTTTACTTAAAAAATAATTTCAAAATTTTTAAAATTTTAATATTCCAATCATATCACATGTCACATTTTTAAATATACTCTAATTGAATCCAAATGTGCAAGTTGTATTTTTAATGTTTATTGCATGTATACAAGATCTTACGTGCATATAGCAACATAAATAAGTTAATTTATTTGAAAATATATTGTTTTAACTATAAAAACTATGAAAAGAGGAGATATTCATGAATTTAAGCAATGATATATTAAAATATGTTATATAATCTTTACAATAATAGAATAATGAATTGGAAAATTTTGAAAAGGAAAATTAAAAATGATTTTCTGACCGTTACTTAATCGTACATGCACATGCTTAGTAAATTTGGAAATGAATGAAAAAAACGAGTACAGAAAGAGTGTTCACAATATCAAAACAATATTCGCTTACAAATTATTTAAATTGCATGACGTAAGGACAATTGGATTCATTAAAATATCTACTACTAGTACTTAATAATTAATAGTCATTTTGATAATTGTTTTGATCACAGCGACTATATAGCCGTCGACTATAAATCCGTTTATGCAAAATTCTAGCAAACTATTAAAGCAAAATTAGAAAGGTTATGTAAATAGCAAAAATACAAGGTTCCTTTAAAGTAATTCTTCAAACAATTTAAGTTTAGTGCATACTTGAATAGTTTTTATAGTTTCCAAACAATAAATTTTTCTTCAAAAAAAAAATTTCCACCCCATATAGAAATTATTTAGGATTATAATTTTCCATACATGTGCACATTGTTCTATAAAATATTTCAGAGTGCAAAAAAATCAATTTTTTTGCTCTTAACTATATTAATAACAATTTATATACAGATATATATAAATGCATATCTGTAATAATGATAGCAGCATTACACAATATTGCTACTATTATTAAATCTTTTTATAGTTACAAGAAATCAATATATGTATATGTATAATTTCTTAAAGCATAAAAATACGAGGTTCTATATATACGGATAAATGTACAGTTATTGTATGTATACTGTATTGGAATGTTGTCTTATCAATCGTTTACATGAAGCATGTAAGTGTTTCTTACAAGTGTTTATTGCAAAAGATACATATAATGCAATTATGAACGTATTTTCATATGGCGTACGAGGTAAGGGAAAAAAAGGTCAAGTGCAGATTAAAAATATAAAAAATTCAATTGTAGAAAAAAATCTTTGAATCTTTTTTTATTACAAAAAGTCTGAGTTTGTGTCGAAAATTTTGTGTTCTATTAAAGAATAAACAAAAATTTTATCACTTTTTTGTTTGCCTTTAAAGTAACCATTGAAAAAATTTATAAATTAAACTATCTGGAGTTTGCCTAATTATTTTAAGTGAATTTTTTTTATTATTTTCATCTAATTATATCACAAAATATCCTGAATAGAACAACGATTTTATTGTTTATTTTATTATTTTGACTAACAAAGGTTTTTTAAAAGCTATTACTAAACTCCCAAAGCGACATATTGCTGGTAATATATAAAACTTTGCAATACTATATAATTTTGAGTTTTTCTTTTTTTATTTGCAGCAATTTCATTAACATACGCTCTCAATTAACAGAAAAAACCTGTTTCAACTTCGATATTGCAAGTTAATTAACGATAATTATAAAATGTGACAAATAATGTTATTCTCCCTGCACTTGCTTCTTATATTGATATACCATTGTTTTGTAATTGAATATAAATGCAATTTTATAATTATTTAACAATTTAAATAAATAAAAATTAAGAATAATTTGTTTTTTGAATTATGACTATATTGTTTTAATTGAATATTATTGAAGGAATTTGTTTCAATCATTAAA